TTCTCTGCTTGACTTATTTCACTTAGCATAATCTCCTCCAGTCCCATCCATGTTGATGTAAAAGTTGGGTATTCATCCTTTCTGATGGCTGAGTAGTATTCCATTGTATATACGGACCACATATTCTTTATCCATTCATCTGTTGAAGGGCATCTTGGCTCTTTCCACAGTTTGGCTATTGTGGACTTTGACAGCATGACTTTTTAGTAGCATTTTGATTTCTATTTCTATGACATAGCTGAGCATATGGGAAGTGTTCAGTCAACACTGGACAAATTCAGATTTTTCTGATGAATTAACAGTTCTCCACAGCCAGGAAGGTACTCTTGACTGCCCTCCTCTGAAAAATGAGCTAGTCAGTGTCGGCTGGGTGGATCAGTCAGTTAAGCATCCGACTCTTGATTTCAGCTCAGGTCGTGTTCTCGGGGTCATGGGATGGAGCCCCAAGTCAGGCTCCACACTCATTCTCTCTCTCCCTCTACCCCTCCCCCTGCTCTCTCTCTCTATTTCTCAAATAAATAAATAAAATAAATCTTAAGGAAAAAAAAGAAAAATGAGCTAGTCAGAAAAATGGAGAAACCAAGTCCTGTGATGAGTCCAGCTTCCTTGCTGCCTCTTTCCACTCACATCTTTCAGTGCCTAGGGTCTTCTTTCGTGCAGCCTCACCCCCATCTCTTACCATCTCTTGAGACCCCGAGATGGTCTTGGAAATAGCCCAGGTACCTTGGACCTCCCTGGAGGCTCTCTCTTCACTTCTTCCAACCTTTAAATTTCCCTTACTGATCTCCTGTTTCTCCCTTCCCCTCCATCCCTAATCTCTATGTCCTTTCCCTTATCCATTTAAGGCCCTCTGTCTCCTCCGCTCAAACACAGGTGCATTCTTGAACGTGCTGTTTTTCTCATCTGCCACCCCTCACCAGCTTTCCACTTGCATTTACAGCCCTGTCCTGGGTCCCAACATGGAAGCCATTCCAGACACAAGCCACCTGCCAGGACCTCAGAGCTCCGCGGTATTTCTTCCTCATCCACAGTCTTCACCTTGTTTATTTCTCTTGCCCCTAGTCTTCTATCTCCCCACCTTGCACTGGAAGGCTTGCACACACATGCAAAAGACAGTGTAACACACAACAATTTCACCTGCGCTTTTACCAGTAACGTGTAGAATTAGAGGTGACATTTTAACTAGAGGTGATATTTTAACTAGAGGTGATATTTTAAAAATTTCCTCTAATTCTGACTTTTTAAAATCCTGATTCACTTTAGGTTCTGTCTTTATACTAACGGTACCATTTTTCTTTTCCTGTGTTTCCATGTCTTTCTGGTGCATTTTGAATGTGTACATTTTGCTTACTCCCCATTAGAATGGCCTGTGATGAAATTAGCTTTGGAGATGGCTTTCCAACAGAGATCAGGTGGTATTCAATTGGGGAAGATATGGAATGAATTCAGAAAGGAGGGGTGAGGGTGTTCAACAAGACGGCCTCTAAAAATCTTTTCTAAAACCTGAGATTCTCCTTAAACTGAACTGAGTGTAGGAGTTTTACCTTTTCCTTTTGTTGTCCCCTCTACTGAAGGGCATTTGCCCCACCTCAGAGGTGCTTAAATACTGGAATTAGCTGAGACAGTAAAAATAAATAATTCTGTTCGAGGGAAAGAGAGGAAAAGGCAGCAAGGACACTCTGGATGTAGGTGATCTTTGAATGCATTAGGCCATGAGAGCCCTCAGTAGGAGTTGAATGCTTTGTGTGAGGATTTCATGTGTTTCTTTTGTCCAGCTTTTCCTTTCGGACCTCAGGTTGATCATAGACCTAAACACTGTCAGTACTAGAGGGATCCCCAAGGGTGGTTTCAGTCCGGTAAGTCTGTGTGCATGCCCCCCCTCTTTGACCAAAGAACTTCTGACGACAGAGCCCTCCTAGCCTTCTCCAGACAGGAAACGATCTTTCCAATTTGGTGTTGAGCCAGCAGAATGTTTTTCTTCTAGTGAGTAAAACAGCCTTCTCTTCGAAGTTTCTCCCCGTTGGTTCCAGTCCATTCCCTGATGCTCGGCAGAGCAAAATCCCATCCCTTTTCTGAGAGCCCTTTGGATAGTTGAGGACAGCCATTATTTTTGATATGGAGTTTTATTCTCATCTGTCTGAACATTTCCAGGGTTCCCAATTCCTCATGGCATGATTTCTAGTCTTTTATATACTTCGGTTGCTCTCTTTTCAGTGTACTCCATTTTGTCTAGCACGGGGTCAGAATGGGATGCTTTGGCCAGCCCAAAGAGGAACAAGAGTCTCTTTCACCCCATCCATCATCCTGTTTGTTCTTCAGCCCCTGACACAGTGTCCTTCACGTGCTTGACCCCTTGATATGTTCTCCTGGAGCAGAATGTCTGGGCTTCTCTTCCTCCTTCACAGCATTCTTATTGCCAAAAGTCCTCAATTTTAGATCCATTTGCATGAAAGGGATTTTTGTTTGTTTGTTTGTTTTTGCAGCTTTCCTGAATTCTCCAAATCCTTATTGCTGTTTTACACTTGACTTGGGTTTATAACGAAGTTTAAGTGTCTTCGAGGCTGGTTGCTTTTTTTTTTTTTTTTTCATATTTAGCCCAGAACCCAATATAGGTCTGAGAAATAGATCTTGAGTCTATGATCAGTAACCATATCACGAATCAACTTATCATCATCATCCTTTTGGTGGCACATAGCTCCTTTTGTCTCGGGTGTTTGTTAGTGTCTGCATTGCTTATGGAGAAAAAGCCTGTGAAGAAGGTTTTTAATACATGGAGTTTTATGATTTTATTCCAAGCTCAGTCTTCCCATGCGACTCAGTACAGAGCTGCCACCAACATCAGGGAACTAGTGGAATTTAGTAGGGATCGGTGGGAAGCAGCTTGAGATTTGGTTTGCTGAAACTGATATGAGATGCTTTACGTTGACACCCCTGGCCAGAGTTCCCTTGCCAGGGCAGCTAGAAGAGTCGCGGAGGCAACGTGATATGGTGAGAAGAGCTCCAGGCTTAAATAGATTTAGGTTTGATCCGAATCTCTGCCACTTATTTCATGGTCCATTAACCACTCTGACCTCAGTTTCTTCGTCCATAAAATGGAGTCAACCCAACTTCACAGCCAAGGTCTCAGAACCGGTATGATGGTGGAATGAAATCATGTGGCACAACCCATGTGGTGAGCTCTGGACATAGCACTGTTGTTCTTCTGCAGAGTGTCTTTATTCAGTCCCCACTACCAGTCCCCAGTTCTGGGAAATAAGGAGCATCCCGATAGGCCATTGGTGGCTTCCCCTGCATTCCACATGATGACGAATTCTCTCCTGCTAGCTCTGTCTGGGACTCTCTATCTGTGTCATACCCAGCATACTGTCCTTGTGGCTGGGGAGTCAGTCAGTACTCCTTAATGGTGCTGCTCATTGTCCTGCACTGAGGAAGGGCAGTGAGCATCATTTCCCCTTCTCTCCGGAGACAGAGCATGTAGTCTAGACACACCGGGCAGGGGGAAGGCAGGAAAGCTAGGCCCTTAACTCCACTGACAGTCTTCCTAGTGCCTTGGACACCTTACTTGGTTGTCTGAGCCTCTGGTTCTGTTTGCAGAAAGAGTAATTAATATATTTGATTTCCTACCTGCCTGCCAGGGTAGGGGAGAATGAATGAGACTCTATCTCTCCCGGGAAAGACACTGTTTGGACATACAGTCTGTTCCCACCAAGGTGGGGAGCCGTACATTGCCAGGGGCTCCAAAAGGCTGTGTGCCCACACTGGTGAGGGTCCAGGAGACTGGACCTTCACTCTTGACTCAGACGGCGGAGACCACGCCTGTCTCCGCAGAACAGCCCCGTGTGAATGTCCGACTTTATGATACATCTGTGCCAGGGAGGGAACTGGACATGAAGCGGAGGCAAATGGTTGCCAATCACCACTTCCCATACAGAGCGTCCGCTGTGCAAGCCCGTGACTCAGGCCACACTCACCTGGACTCAGAGACCTCCAGGCACGGAGAGCTCTGTCTCGCCCGAATATTCCCCTGATTAATTACAGAGGGTCTCAGCCCTGCACCTCACACAGAGGCCGGTTCTTCGTGCCTGGAGCCGGACTCCACAGCCCTGGGGTGCGTGCACTCTGCTCTCTGGCCCTCCTCCCGCGGAGGCACCAGCCCGACCGGGTCCTGCCTTGCCATGCCCCGCATCTCCCACAAGGGGGAGCCCCCGGAGGGCAGTGGAATTTGGGAAGCTGAAGTTTTCTCCTCCTGTCCTCTGATTTTCGCGCTTGACCCAACTGTGAGATTTCTTTGTTGCAATGTTGGGGTCTGAGATAACACTTCTGGAGGCTGCAGCCGAGCACCACAGCTGATGCCATCTTTTATTGTTTGCTATTAATTACCTAGCAAGATAAACGAAGGAGGAAAAGTAACAAAGAGCTTGAAGACTTTCATGGCTCCCAGGCCCTGGATGGAGGCAGGCGGCCCCAGACAGACAGACAGAACCAAGAAGGTGCCTGTGGCTGCAGAGCCCAGGTAGGTGCCCGGGAGAGGACTATGGGTGGGGGGGGGGCCTAGAGCGGGGTGGCCGAGAGGCACGGAGGCCCTGATGGTGGGAAGGCGGGTGGAGTAGACACGGGGTGGTCAGGAGAGATTGTTGCAGGGGGGAGGCAGTGCAGAGACACTGAGGGAGAGCAGAGGGAGGAGCCCCCGAAAGGAGCGCAAAAGAACAGAAATGCTCCTAGGATGTGATGCAAAAGGCTGATCACGGAGCCCGAGCCGGAGCCGGAGAGGGAGGGTTTGTGAACTGACTCAGAGACTTAAACTAGTTTGAAGTTGGTTCCAACTCTGCCACCCAGAAACTTCACAGGACCGAGTCCTGAGCGCCAGTCTGAGAGGCCGAGTCTGAGCGCCAGTGCTCAGCTGCACAAGAGGATTCAAAGTGAGTAGGTACATGCCTGAACGTCCATCCAAGCCTTCGGGTTGTGTGTCATAGAGCCACACCCACTCCGGACTCCGGACTCCTTAAACTGGAAGGAATTCTGGTCTGATGGCCTTTTCAGGTTCTCTCTGCTCCCAACTACCGTCTCAGACGTTCGCCTTCTTCCCTCCAGGCTCCCACAGTTGCTCTGGGTAATGGACCAGGAGTCAGACGTGCCACTCTGCCACTTAGCCAGATTAGCTTAAGCAAGGAGACGTCGGAATCCCCCTCTTTCTTTGTCTATAAAAGGGAGATAATAATATATCACTGATGAGCCTTATAGGATTTTTTCTGAGGATTGAATAAGTAAGATAATGTGAATAAATGCTCCTAATAGATTATAATTGCTAGCTAAATAAAAGATGACATTAATAATAATTAATCAGTTAATATACCCTTATGCTTCTCAGCAGGGTAGTTTCCTCCTGAGCTTTGGAGGGACATGTGTGTACTGTTTGCGGGAAAATTTAAGTACAGGACCCCTAATTGCCACATCACTTTTTAGAGTAACCTCTTTGGCAGATAAGTGGGGAACTTTGTGTTCTTTCCCTTTTAGCCACCTCCAAATGTTCTCTTTGCGGGCCTCTGCTACACTTTTCTAGTTCACAAACGTGCAGATAATGATTGATGGTGCCTGCTTGGCTATCTGGACGAGTGATTTGTCTGTGTCCTTGACACTGTGCTGCTCCAGTAAATGTCACAATGTGTCTCAGGCAAATGATCAGACTATACTTGGAAGAAGCAAATAAGAGGCTGTGTTAATAATCCCATCGCCATATTCCCTGCCTGGAACGTTCTTTCCAGACTACTCGTTACTTATTCATTAAAGTGTCTCAGATGGGGAAATGGGGTCTACACTCTGGGTCAGGCTCTTTCCATCAGCCTACGAAAGTTGGAGTTGGCTTTGATGCCTGTGGACCCATTCACCCTTTCTTTGGGTTCCAGAAGCAGTGTGCTGTCTGGGGAAGGTAGTGTGGACCACGGGCAAATCCCTTGACTTCCCTGAGCCTTCTCTTTCCATCTGCCAGATGAAGTTGCTACTACTACCCTTTCTTACTGCATCCAACTATACGTGGGAGGCACACATGAGATCACACCTGAACACACCAGAAGCTTGTAACTCTACAGCGTTATATAATTACAAGGCATCATCTTTGTTGTTCTGCTGCATGTTCCTTGCTAGTGACCTCCCCCTCTTTCACAACCTTAATTATTTTAAAGCTGCCTTTCCCCCGATGTTTGCGTATTCTATTTCTTTTCTTCTCCCCCAGCTGACTAATAAATTAAATATCGATAGAGAGGCTAAGTTTAAGTCATATACCTACTCACCTTCAAAAAGTTTATATCCTCTCTAAATCATGTGCGTAGCTGCATAATATGTCCACAGACTGTTTTTCTAAAGCCACTGCACACATATATACATTCCTTCTTTCCAGCAGGTACTCTCTCCCCTTTTGATACAAAATATATGCAGATGTATATTTGAGCAAAATACATATGCCGACATTCACGCAGCATACTCACTCAGAGAGCACAGTTAATGGGGAAGAAGAATGAGCACAGCACCGTATCAACATTTCAGCAATTCTAGAGTCCAGCAGTGACCGCGATACACAATTCATGTGGTTTAAAAAAAAAAAAAAATCATGGGTTGATTTCTGCCCTGTTCTTAGTAATGAATATCAGTATCTGCCTCTTCCAGACAAGACGCTCGGCAGCTTCAGATATTTTTAAATGAGTTTTTTAAAATACATTTGCAAAGTTAATTATTATGAATCTCATCTGAAGCAATTAAAAAAAAAAAAACATCCTGACATTTAAGGTGATATTTTTTCCCAAGTAAAATAATTATAAATAATACTAATTATGAACAAATCATTCAGTTACTCTCAGCCTGGTTCAACCTTTAGGTTAATAAACCAATCCATTAAAATTCATCTTGCTCAAAGGACCAATTTGTTAAAAAATATAGTGACCTTTCACCACAAGTATGATGGATATTTTCTTTAACAATAATCAGAGCTGTCTTTCCCAGAAGAGAGTGTGGTCAAGTGGTAGACGTGGTCAACTAAGGATCTGGTAATACTTCGAGATTAGGTACAAAATGATGTTGATGGTGACGAAGATGAATGTACAAAACAGGAACTCTGTTTCAAAAAGTACCTTAAAGAGATGCCTGAAAATCTCAGGACAACTGCTCAGAAAAACTGATAATGTCATTCTCCACAGCAGGAAGGATTTTAGATATGCCCCTCTCTCTGCCTCTGATGTTCGTTCTGCCCAAAGATGTAGGGCAGGGATTTGCAAATAGGGCTCATGGGCCCAATCCAGCCTGCCATCTGTTTCTGCGAATAAAGTTTTATTGGAACAAAGCGCAGCTCTCCATTCCCATGTTGTCAGTGGCTGCTTGCCTACTACAAAGGCAGTCCAGTAGCCACAACAGAGACCTAAAGTATGTACTATTTGGCCCTTTACAGAAAAAGTTTGCCAACCCCAGTTGTAGGGTAATTAAAAAAAAAAAAACAGTTACCTTTGAATTTACAGCACCAACTAATATTTGAGGAGCTCTTCACGGTTTATCAAGTCTGACTGTGTTATTTTGTAACGGGTATTATTATCCTCCTGTCACTGATGAAGATAGTGTGAATTTCCCCATGGCCATTCGGCCATTAACTGGTGTAGGTAGACCTTGACCTCCAAAGAGGGAAGGGCGCTGCCCTGAGGGCCGCTGTTAGAGCCACCGTGGCGGGGGTGGCTGTTAAGCCACGGTCACCGTTGCCTATCTCTTTCAGGCCCCCAGATGTGGTCATTGCCATAGGAGCGGAGAGGAAGCGATACTCTTGACATTCCGTTCCCTCTTTATCTGACCTTGGCCTGGGTGATTTTACACTCATTCTGCTTCTATGTCCCTCTTCCCATCACCAGAGCAATACTAATAAACAGAAAGGAGGAAAAAACGCTTTGCAGTCAAACAAAGCTAAGCTTTATTGCCTCAACTCTCATTTATCCATACTGAAGGAATGTATCCACCCCGAAATTGGCACTGTGGCATGGATATTCTGCAACAACCAGAAACAGAGACGTCTTTGTTTTTAGAATATGCTATTTTTTTTTTTTAAGTTTGCTTTTTGAAACGGCAAAGCCTCTCTTAATTACGTGCTGATTTACTCGGTTTGTTATCAAAATTATACTTCTCCCCCCTGAGCTCGTTTCATCTACTAGCAAGGTGGGCCATGAGGTGATGGATACTAGGACCAAGGATGCCTGGAAGGAAGACCTTGCCTTTGAGAGCCATAGATCTAAAACACATTGTTTGCAGAGACCAAAGATTTTCTTAATCTTATGCTTTCTTAGAACGGAAGTAAGGGAGACAACAAGAGAGATGAGAAGAAGACACTCCTATGTCAAGCCTTCCCTGAATAGGCACCTGGGTGGCTCAGTCGTTAGGCGTCTGCCTTCGGCTCGGGTCATGATCCCAGGGTCCTGGGATCGAGCCCCGCATCGGGCTCCCTGCTCTGCGGGAAGACCGCTTCTCCCTCTCCCGCTCCCCCTGCTTGTGTTCCCTCTCTTGCTGCATCTCTCTCTGTCAAATAAATAAATAAAATCTTTAAAAACAAAACAAAACAAAAAACCTTCCCTGAAGATTCCAAGGCAAAGATAAGGATTGAAAAAACTGAGCTATTTCAGTTTTTTCACTCAGGCAACCTTTATCTGGAGTGTTCACTGTGGTAGGTGCTGTGAGGAGTGGAAGGACTATCACATTGACTAAGATTCAGATATTCTAATAACTGATTTGAGTTTGAGAAATGAACATGTGCATTTGTGTCTATAGTACAAATTAGAAAAAAGCAACGGAATGGAAGGACAAATAAAATCCGAGCATGCTCAAAGGAGAAGTTGTTTTTCCTTATTAGACAGTCACTGAAGACATTGTGGAAGAAGTGGCATTTTGCGAGACCTGAGAATATATGGGTTTTAGACATTTGGAAATGGAAGTAGGTGGGCATTCTAGGAGCAAGCAGAGAGAACAAAGTCATAGAGCAAAGCATAGGACTTGTATGTGATCAGAAAACCATTCACTCTATTTGAAGCATCTGGTTACACAGGAGTAGAGGAAGGTAAGGTCAGTGAAGAAGGTCAGAGTCAGATTCTAGAGGGCCTTGAAATGTAGGTTAAGAAGTTTGGTCTTTACTATGTGGATGATGAGAATCAGCCCATGTTTTTCTGCAGGAAAATTGCATGATCATACCTGTGATTTGGAAAAAGATGTAACAGATGTTTGGAAAGGTCTTGGAGGCCAGGTCACCAGTGAGCCCCTAAAGCAATGGGCCAAGTAGGATGAAGAAGGTTACACCTTCATCTTGTGCTCTCCTCATGAGACTTCTCCTCTGTAACCTGACTATCGTAGGTTATAGCACTGGCTGAGGGCTTTCTGAGGGTACTTATTTAATGGCATGCCAGTGGCATTTACTCATAAAACCAAAAAGCCATTGGGGCCAGAAATAGGGGTTTTGGTTACTTCCCCAGACAGGATGCAGTTGGGGTGATTATACGT